AATAAGAAAGTAATTTTAGGTATTTCCCTCTGTATAATTCCAACTATCAAAGAAAATGATAGTTATTTTCCTTCTAAAGGTTTCTGCTTTTTATTAGGTAATAATGCATCATTGTGCTGCTTTCTTTTCTTAACATTTATTATTTTTCTTTCCTCTTGATAAATTTCACAGGCAATCCTTTCTTTGTCTAAATATGTTTGCAAAGATTTGGTATCTGCTAATTTAAAAATATAAGGTGCAATTTTTTCACCTTGTTCTTTCTTCAAAATACTTCTAATGGTGCTATAATTTTTGGGTTCCATAGTAGATCTGATGTAAATTAATTTCATATTAACTATTTTTATATAGGGATAGTTATATATCACCTAATGCGGACATTTCCAAAAGGCCTATCCTATCTTACCTGGACCGTGGTGGAATAGGTTAACCCTAGGCTGGACAAATTCTGACAGAAAATTCGCTAAAATCATCCAGAACATTCACTACTACTACATTCACTGTGATTATCTGTGATTATCACCAGGTAAATATCCACCCGTCCAGGTAAAATAGGATAATCCTATTTTGTACAACTTCCCCTTTCTATCCCTGTCCGAATGTGCTGTTATATATATCACTTAAGATAACAAATGGGATATTATAAAACTGTTAATTATAATCATGTTACAAATGACTGAATTTTGATCCCTGAAATTCTTGGTAATACCAATGTTCACTTTGTCTGGTTTTGTTGCAGCATGCCCCATATATATACATTCATATCTCTATAATAAACTCAAAAAAAAAAACAAAAAGCTCAATTTCCAAAAATGAACCATCAATTTGATTTGTATAATGTCTGAGGTACTAAAAGAAACAGTCTATTTACATGTTTTATATATTTTATAACAATATAAATATTTTTTTTTCTAATTATAAACAACAGGAAGGAGGAGATCAAGAGAATCCAACTATATTGAGGTAGTGAATCCTGACAAGGCATTACAAAAAAAAAAAAAATAGTAATTTACATTCTGTCCATTGTTTTATTTGTTTGTTAATGCTTCATAATATTGTATTTTATATATTCATTAACATACTAATGCTAATATACAGCATACTAAATAAATATTCTAATACAAATTATCATTTGTCCTGTTTTTTTTGGAACATACCATTGATTTAGAAAAGCATTATGTGGTTAATTATTTATTTATTTGTTTATTACTAAAAATGCTAAAAAACATTTTTTACTATTATTATCATATGTCCAGTCTTTTTGGATCATTGATTTGTTTTACTTTAAGAAAAGCATTATGCATTTACGATTGAATTTATTATTCAACTACTTCTTAACTAATTGACAATTGAATTGATTATTATTACTAAAAATAAAGTGTTGTGTGTTTAATTAAATTGACAATTGAATTGATTATTTGTTTATTATTAAAATGCTTTGATCATGACTATACATTCATTTTGCAAAGCTGGATTGCAAGCTTTGTAAATCCCAACTTTAACACTTTGATCAAATAGCAAACAACAATGTGTCATCATTTTTTGAAGATGATATTAAAGATTAAGATCTGATCTTGTTACATGAAAATACTCGAATTTTTCAAAAAAAAAATGTGGGGATGGCTGTCCTATTTATATGTTTTGGATTTAATAAACGGACTACTATCTTGGCCTGTATTTTTTTGCTCTTTGCAATGAAGATGCAATCCCAAACCCAACTTAAAATAAAAGAATTTTGTTCTTGCATAGCATGGTGTGCATGATTTGCAATACAAAGCAAAAGCTCACATTGCGTTCTCAGTTGTGAGCTTGTTACTTTTTAGTAATGTGTGATTTAATAATTTTTTATCCATAATATTTCATCATTAGCAAAATGATTATTTGTAATAAAATATCTGATGTAAAAAAACTAATCTTTATTGTTCATTTCTTATAATTTAGAAGGAAGAGAGCATTCTCATTTGTGAACTACATTCATATTTTATTACCTCCATCTATAATGCATAATCACACATCCATTTTTTCTTGTCAAGTAATTTTAAAAAGAGAACTTTTTTTGCTTTAATCATTTGATGATTTATCATGAATAATGCATTAATATATTATTATCTCATCAGTTATATTATCAAGAATTTAGAGAACATTCTTAACAATATATCTGTATTTATTTATCTCATTTTTATATCATCATTTTTATATCATTTTTATATCATCACTATACATGTAGCCCAAAGTATTTTGACACTGTCATAAAGGGGTTACACTTATGTTTTTAATAGTGAGTGCCGTAATTAATTTCTACTTTCTACCATCAAAATTGGAATAATTTTGACCATTGAAATTACCAAACCAATTTGGGCTGCATGTATACTCTGGAGTTGTTTTTCCCATCCATTTTTGAATAATCTTATTATCAAGTTTTTCTTTTATAGTATGTAATTCTTTATAGTTGCCACCTAGTATTAAAAGAAATGATGAGTCAGTTCAAACTCTTATACAAAATTATTTATAAATTATTTACCTAAACAGGTGACAACGTCGCATGCAAGTATAACAATATGTTGGAGTTTGTGGTCACTCCATCAACCTTTTTGATCTATTAAAGTTCCATGAGCTACCCTATTCCTAACATTGTTCTTATAATTTTTAAAAGCTGAGTCGGATTTGATTTATGTTGACTGTGGAATACTGATTTGTCAAAAATTATTATATTCTCAATTATGAAATTAAGCATACATTGAGTATCTGCATTATCAAAATCTGGATTTATGTGATGTTTGGAGGCAAAGGTCTTGGTGACAGTGGAAGGAATTATATGTTCATTCTCAATAAGGAATTTGTTAAGTGCTTTTTCAACCAAATTAAAAATAGGTTCAATAAAGGCCCCTTGAAAGAAAAAGTATGCTTTACTGGTGGGGAGATGATTCTTGGTTGTTGTAATTATACATGAAGTTGAAACTATTTCGACCATTTGCAGATCTGGTCGAAATAGGGTCAAAATAAGGTCGAAACTGATTTTTACTATGTAGTTTCCTCAAGTCAAAACATTTCGACTTTGGGGTTTTAATTTCGACTTCATGTATAGTTGTGATGATTGATCACTTTTGATCCAAAAAAAGTGGAAGAATAAACCCGTTTTTTGAATACTGCATATGGCCTTGATGGTTGGGAGGAATTTTTTTCCTCAAGCCAATCAAATATTTTAGTGTGTATTTCAGACTGTTCACAAAAGACTTTGTCGTTATGTAAAATATCGCGAAGTGCTTTGGATATAACCTCACAAGAGACCTTTAATGGACATGCTTTGAGTGTACTCTTTATATTTTGCTTGATAACACCAGATCTTAACCATTTGGAAATTTTGGATTTACTCATTATTAAATTATGAAAAAATGAAGTGTGCAACGCGTAAAAAAAAATATAAACAATATTAATATATTTCTTTTTGTGAAATGCCATGTGACTTTATTGTATCAATATTAGTGTTATTATCATCATCACCGATTTTTTTTTTAAATCTAAAAATCCGAAATAGTTTCGGATTCGATTAACAGCTATAGTCTACTAATATAAGAGCACCAGATAACTGCAATTGTTGTCGTTCTTTTCCACCTTTAATGAAGATGGATTCGAATTACACATTCATTTTTCAACAGGTTGTTTATCAATTTAGGTTGATCAACAACATCCAATGTAGCAAGCAAACATTTATACCAATACAGATCAATTAAACCTGTTCGCGCAGAAAATACAAAGTCGTAACCATTTCTCCTTAATATCAAGCCAAAAATTGTCAAACGAGGTCTCTTACCCACCGGGAGAACTGGGCTGGTAATTAAAACTTAAAGTAAAATATATTTATTTGAAGCAAAATGACCTCTCTTTGATAATTTGCAATTGTATACAAATTCATTCTCTCTATAATATACATGTCCGTTATAGAGAGAGTCAACAGTAATAATATGAGACATATAAATTGGGCTTAAATTCTCAGTCCGAGATCCATTATAGAGAAAATGGACTGTATATTGAGGAGAAAGAAAAGAAATCGACAAGCACTAAAAAACAAAATTGTAAAGTAAATTCAACTGTTAAAAGAACTTTGCAAAACATTTTTGAATTCATATTCATTATTCATAACGTTAAACTATTATTTTGATTTTTTTTTTACAAAGTCACATTTAATTTATTTTTAAAAATAATAACAATAAAAATATAAAACATAAAATCAAAAGCAAAGGTAATAATAATGATAAAATTAATATCCTAGTTCTTCGTAACTGTCAGCTTGTAATTCATTATTTTCAGCAATCGCCCAACTAATTACAGGCGAAACAATAATTTCTACATCACCATCATTATTGTTAACACTTTCTTGTTTGTGACCTATAAAACCCGTAACAAGTTGTAGCTTTAAATCCATGCCGACTTCATCAAAACTACCGATAAAGGGTACACTAACTCGACCATAAGGTAAATCACCTAATTTCGCGATTCCTCCTAAAGGATGACCATCACAAGTATAAGGAAAGAACGTGGTAATCCAACCACTTAAAGTAGGCTCTCCAGAGCCATAAGATTGGTAAGACAAAACTCTACTCCAAAAATCTTCATGTATTTCACCTTTATAAGTCGAAACAAATTCCCCAATAATTGGATCTAATTTATTTAACCAAAAATCTAAATCCAAATTTAATTTACGTAATTGAACTAATTTTTCTTGAATTTTCATCCAATCTTCTAAAGTACCGGTCAAAGTGATTTTTGGAATGCCACAACAACTTGTCATTCTATAACTGAAATAGGACTTGACAGTATCTAATAATACGATATTACTAGCAGTTTTTGTAGTAGGAGTTGTAGTTGTAAAATTACATTCTAATAATCTTTTTATTCCAACTTCGTCTTTAACTTGACTATCAGTTGCATCAGTTAACCGTTGAACCGCTTGGTCCCAATCTCCTCCAATACATTCACCACTAAAATTCAAAAGGCCATCAACATAAACATTAATTTCTTTTTTGCCTTCATGCTCAACAAACACATAACGATATTTTTCCGAATTAAAATTAATATGCTGACTGACTCCCAAGGCAATAGCTAGCCAAATATCATCAGGTGAAAGTTTTAAATGTTGATGATAACTATAAGCTTGAAAAAAAGCAGAAATAAATCCATTTGAAGTTGGGGCTCTTTCAATAACTCGAGAGTTGATAGAGTTTGGTTCTGAAATTGCATGAATCTTATTTGATCTTAAAATTCTTTTGTATACACTGTCAATATTAACATGACCTTCAATTTTGGTTCCGAATTGAAGTTTTTCAGAAAGAATTTGAGTTGACATTTTTTTTTTGCTAGTTTTTCTATTTTGAAAAAATAACTTTAACGTGAGAAACTATTGGTATTTTTCGGTGAAAAAAGAAAACCATATCACTAATAATCTGAAATGAGATCGATAAAAATAGTATGCATAGAGATGGGCAGATCAGTACTATACGTATAGTGCGTATAGTTCTAGAAAAATATAGTAGTAAATGTAAATCAATT